TGTCCTCCTAAATCTTCTTGTTATTCTTCTAATCCTACAATGGTCTCATCTTCTTGTGCTAAAATTCCCACCAGAAGAAGATCTGCACCCTCATCTCATCCCCGTCCTAATTCTGTAGAAGGATGGATCTCTGATGCAGAAGGCCGAGAAGAATTTCTATCTTATTAGAAGGAACGTGGTATTATTTCTCCTAAGTTCCTTATTGGTGATCAGTTCATCAATAGGGGATTCAACTTTCCTAATCTCCTTGAAATTCAAGGAGTTCTCCCTTTCATCCAAATGCAAGATACGTATTATCCTGACTTAGTTAGGGTATTTTACTCTAGGTTCAAATTTAGAGATCAAATTGCTACCTCTCATGTAAAGGGGGTAACAATTATTCTTGATGATGATATTTGGGAGAATGTTGCTCATTTTCCTATAAGAGAAGATGTTATTAACGCATTTGGTGAGTTAGATGATTTTGACAGGATCATGGCTTACCGCTCTTTTCTGCGAAACCCTTCCATGGAGATTGGGCGTCTCCTTCTAGCTGGACCTTTGAAGAAGGAGGAACGCATGATTTTGCATTTACTTGTCTGGATCCTATGTCCCCGAGCTACGAATCATGCTCAATGTTCTTCAATTGATCTTCGTATTATTCATGTCATAATGAATAATGAGCCTTTAGATTGGGGCATTCTTGTCACCATGACTATGTTAAAAGTCAAACGCCATCCTACCTTCAAAATTCCATATGCCCTCCTTGTCTCTCGCATTCTTGAATACAAAGGAGTAAATGTCGAAGGTGAACAAACAGTAAGAACGAATAACTTAAATCGCATGCTGGACAACACATTAACTCAACTCCAAATGGTGCGTATCAACAACATTTATGTTCACAAGGATGACGTTCCAAATGAAGATGACGATAATGAAGATTCTGATGAAGATATGCCTCCTGCTGCTGATTTTCCTTCTGATCAAATCCAAAGTGTTGGAACTTCCTCTACTCATCATGAAACCCGACAATCTATGGAAGACATGTTATCTGCTATGAATCAGAGGATGCAGGCATTCTTCACTCTTTCTGGAGTACGGCATGAGGAAATAATTCGCCGTATATCTGATGTAGATGATAAAGTATGTCATTTAGAAAATAAATTTGATGCACACTTTCATAGTGATGATAGTGAAGAATTTTAAATTTATTTTTTCTTTTGTGTTGTAATGTATTTTTATTTCTGAAATAAAATGTGGTGTTCTTTTAATGCTTTGATTGAGGGGGAGTTATCTCCAAGTTATGCATATTTTGAGGGGGAGTTCTTGTGATTGTTATAAAAGAAATCTTTTAATTTTTTATTATAATCAAAATAGGGGGAGAAATATTTAAAGCCTACTATGGTTGATTTTAAATATTATCTGGTATGTTTAATGTGTTTGTTAGTATGACAGATAAAACAGGTTATTACAAGGCTTTAAAAGAAAATTTTGATCATCATCAAAAAGGGGGAGATTGCTGAACATTTAAGGACTTGATGTTGAACTTACATGGACATGAAGCTTGTTGATTTTGATGATGATTCAAGAACACAAGACTTAGAGAGTTGAAGATTTGTTTTATTGTGTAATAACTCTGTTTTGATTAGTTTGAGTCTGTAATATTAGAGTCTAAGATAGTCGGTACATAGTCTGCACTTTAGAAGCTTCAAAAACTCACATTTATCAGTTTGCCTCGGCTTTAATCGATTAAATGGTCAAATAATCGATTATTACAGTGAGAAAAACTATTTTCTGTATCTGTTCACTGTAATAATCGATTGACACACCTGTTAATCGATTAACAGGGCTTTTAATCGATTAAAACAGAGAGTTTTGGGGTTCTGTTGATTTTGGCTCTGTAATAATCGATTAACACTTCATTTAATCGATTATTTCGATCGATTTTGATTTTCAACTTCGGATCAACCCTATTTTCGAAAACCCTAATCCCAATACTCTCTAGTTCAGAAAATCCCAATTCCCAAACCCTAATTTCTCTACTTAAGCTTCTCTATGGCACTCGAAAAATTGAACAACCTTTTTCAAACAAAAGTTAAGTGCTGTGAGTGTCAGAGAACTGTTTGTTGGAGGAAAAAAGGGCTTTTGGAACCTGATGTGGGCTAGAAGCGATAAGAATCACTAAGTGGAGTTCTTAGTGGATTGTGTGTTGTGCTGTCTCTGGGGAAAACTGTTCTTCATCTCTTGTGGGTTTCAAGAGAGGTGTTTTCTTTACTTTGTATTTTCAATTGTTATCTGTTTGTAACAACTTTGATTATAGTGACAGCGTTAATCCTCTGTTTGAGTGATTAGCAACTGGACGTAGGGTTTTTTTATCCGAACCAGTATAAATCTCCTGTGTAAGACTCTATCTCTATCTTATTTACGTTTACACAACTTTTTAATCGGTAAAATTTGGGGAAAATTTTGAAAACCTAATTTTTGTTAAGAAACCAATTCACCCCCCCTCTTGGTTTTTGTCCGACCACGCGAACATTCCGCTGCGCGATTCTAACAAAACACTTGAAGTGAGGGAGATTTATTTAGCCATAAAAAGTGAGTATAATATTTGTTCTACATTTAATTTGTCAGACTTATCTCTTTTTAATGTAGATGATGAATCCGATTTGAGGACAAATCATTTTCAAGAGGGAGAGAATGATGTGAACATGACCTATGATAAGGGCTAGAGTAAGAGAAGCAAATGAAGTTCTTCAACAAGTATTGTTGGTTGACCAAATTGTGTTTTGGATTAATCAATTAATGGGTTTTAGTTTAGTTTTATTGCAAGTTGTAATAAGAGCCCAATTGGAAATTTAGTTATCAGTCTTTGGGAGACCAAGAGGGTACATAACTTATTGACTTTTGGATGCCACAATTTCAATTACAATCAATCATTAAGTAGTTTTCAATTCCTAGGTTAATAAATCATTATTAGTATTTATTTTTCTTTAATGAATATTTGTAACTCTGATGACAAAGCTTCTTTATAAGCTGAACCATTTTTATCAGAAATAACAAGTTGAGTTTTATTTTTAGAAATATTAGAGTTTATCTCTTTTATCTTAGTGAGAGTGATTCTCCTAAGTTCTTGAGTGATTCAAGAACCCTTGGCTGTATCAAAGGACTTTTACATCCTTTGTGTGTTGCCTTCCTTGTAAAGAGTGATTCTTTCCTTCCACCTTATTACTAAATTCTTAAATTTCTTACAAGGTTCTAACCCTAAAGATCCTAAATCACCCCCTCGTTATTCATATCAGTTGGTATTCAGAGCCCCGGTTTAAAGGTTTGAACATCAAATTGATGACAGAGGAGGATAAAAAGAAAATGAGAGAAATTTATTTTCAAGAAAAGAGAGAAAAAAATAAGTGTTAGTGAAACACTTGAGAAGAAAAAGAGTGATCAAAAGAAGAGTAAAACACTTGAAGTGAGGGAGAGTTATTTAGCCATAAAAAGTGAGTATAATATTTATTCTACATTTAATTTGTCGGACTTATCTCTTTTTAATGTAGATGATGAATCGATTTGAGGACAAATCCTTTTCAAGAGGGAGAGAATGATGTGAACATGACATATGATAAGGGCTAAAGCAAGATAAGCAAATGAAGTTCTTCAACAAGTATTGTTAGTTGACCAAATTGTGTTTTGGATTAATCAATTAATGGATTTTAGTTTAGTTTTATTGCAAGTTGTAATAAGGGCCCAATTGGAAATTTAGTTATCAGTCTTTGGGAGACCAAGAGGGTGCATAGCTTATTGACTTTTGCATGTCACAATTTCAGTTACAATCAATCATTAAGTAGTTTTCAATTCCTAGGTTAATAAATCATTATTAGCATTTATTTTTCTTTAATGAATATTTGTAACTCTGATGGTAAAGCTTCTTTATAAGCTAAACCAATTTTATCATAAATAACCCAAGTTGAGTTTTATTTTTAGAAATATTAGAGTTTATTCTTTTATCTTAGTGAGAGTGATTCTCCTAAGTTCTTGAGTGATTCAAGAACCATTGGTTGTATCAAAGGACTTTCACATCTTTTGTGTATTGTCTTCCTTGGAAAAAGTGATTCTTTCCTTCCACCTTGTTATTAAATTCTTAAATTTCTTACAAGGTTCTAACCCTAAAGATCCTAAATCACCCCCTCGTGATTCATATCACAAAGGGAATGAAAACAATCATAACATAGAAGATTTCTCAATCTCGATTCAACACCCCTGTGAACTACATATAAAGTGTAGAGGAGACGAAAATTAAGATGAAATTTTTTAAGAAATGATGGTGGAAAATACGGTGATGTTTTGTAATTTAAATTGTTAAGTCTATTATATTAGAAAATGAATATATTTAAATACCACATAAAATAGGTCATTCTATATATTTAGATTTCATCTGTTTCAGAAAGACAAAAGAGAAACTGAAGCACAAAATATGGAGTTTTGGAATGATTTTGAAGAGTTGGCAGCCTAACACGTTTTGTCCAAGTTTGTAGGGAGCAGTTGCAATTGCATTTTTGGATTTGCAAATGCAGTTAGGATCATAGTTATTAATTTCAACATTGTGGATATAAATGTAACATTTATTATTGAGTTTACATGAATAATTGAAGTTAAAAGAAGATAGGCAGAACAAATTCTTGCAGAAGAGAAGCATCGTGGGTTAATTAAGAAAATAAACAGAGTTTAGATTTTGAGGGTACAAATGCATATTTTGAGTGAATGAAAATAAGAGTAGGGCAGAGAAAGGGTTGTAGGCTAGGACATAAACAATGATGGTGACAGGGGTCCATGAATCATAAGTAAATCATGTCATAGAGTATGGGGACTAAGGGGGAGAAGAAGGGTTTCTCTTATCTGTGTTCAATAAGCCCTAAGCGTTTGGGAAGTATGCTGTTGTCACAAGGTTGTTGTTTCGTGGTACTACGAAACATGCAAACACGTCAAAACGTGAAGGCCCGGGTGTTGGATAAGTTGGGCCCAAAAAGGGGGAGGGATCTGGAGGGGAAGAGATGGTGGTTGTGAAAGAAAATAGGCATGTGAGCACACTGCCCAGTGGGTTTTGTTTAGGGAGTGCCAATTTTGAATGGGGAGGGAAGGGAAGAGATAGACAGGGACAGTCAAAGCATTGGGAGTTGGGAATACCAAACTCCTATACCCTCTCAGTACCCTGTGAAATACAAGGTAAGATGACAGAGGCACTTTTGTTGAAGGAAATGGCATGGGAGTTAGTGGCTGTGGGGTATAACCCTCCTTTTGTGTGTCAGAAAATTTATAAGGCACCCACCACACTCCACACATAATCACTCCCCCTTCTCCCTCGCATCCCCCAAAAACAAAATAGGTACACATCATTGAGTTTTTGGGGTCATTTTACCCCCTGCATGCCAGCTCTTTCCACCTTCAATTCTACATCCCTCATTCACCAACCTCCATGCTACTTACCTACAATCTCTACCCTCTATTATTTTTCTTCTGCTTTTTCTTTCTTCTTCTACTTTGTTTATTTTCTGCAGTGGTAGGTGACGTTACTATTAGCATTAGCATGTTATATAGTCTTATTAGTATAGTCATCAATACAATAAAATCAGTTGGAAAGAACCTTGTATATGTATAGTCCAGAAATTGGTACAAGTTAAAGTTATTAAATATATTGCATGCTTATTGAGTATAGTACGTACGTTTGTAATGTAGAAAGTGATACAAGTTAAAGTGATTGGTTAGTTCATGCTTTGTCATTCTCACATAATGTGGTGAATCAACAGTGTATCATCATCTGTTTATTTTTTCGTACAAGCAGTGTCATTGACCAGACAATGAGGGTAAATTAATGTGTATTTTCTGCAATGTGACAGACTTTCATGGTGCAGCTTTCATCGGGAGAGTAGCTCCAAATTGAGTTGTTTGTTTTGGGCTTTCGATTCTCTTTTTTCTGCAGGGTGGAATACCTGAATATCTGCTCGAAATCCAAGTATGCTTCTGTAAGATAATCAAATCCAATAAAAGAAAATAATTCTTTTATTGCAGGTTGAAATAAAAAATACTCGAAGAGTGGCATGGATTTGGCACTTGATCCATTTTTATTATGATTTTTTCCCTCATTGTACGTATAGCTATACATGTGGTGTGCTCTTCTGCCTCATCGTCAACAAGACAGCTGTTTATATGATTCCATATGTATCCAGAGGCTTCAATTATTTTCTTGCTTAATTTCTATAAATTCATCTCATCATCATCAACTGTGTAGAGGTCAATTTGGTTAGGCAAAAAGACCCTTTGTTATTCGTTTTCTCTTGAAAACAAAAATGTAGTGCCCAATTCAAAATTCTTTCTTCTATTCATTTGCTTGTTACTTGCATCAATTGAGAACATGCATAGCTTTTCTTTATGCTGATAAGGGTTGGGAGAGGAGATTCTAACATATAGATAAAAATATTATAATAATAAAGATTGTCAGAAACTATTACTTATTGAATTATTTATTTTATTAATTTTTATTTAACAGATTATATTTTATCTTATCTTAGAAAAAGATATAAAATTTTATCTTCAAAAAATATAAGACTATATCCTCTTTTATATATTAAATACGAGATACAATTCCTGAACATTAATTTATATTTTATCTTTTTTACACCTTTTTTAGTGAATTAATTGTATCGAAATAAATTTGTTTTGGTTAACAAAATTAATGATAATATAATAAGTACTCTTAGTTCAACTTCTGATGAAAAGTATCTTTCAATATCGATGACATTTATCAAATAGTAAAGAAACTTTATTCACAGGATTTTATCAATGTGTAAAACAATTAAGAATGTAACTTGAGAACTTCAACCATGTGACACTATTTTCTAACATTGTGGAATTGGAAATATTAGTGAACTATTAAAAAACTAGAAAAAACACACAAGTTTTATTCTCTTTTATAGCTATATATATAAATATAGTTAAGATTATATTTTTTACATTAAAAAAATAGTTAAAATTGAATATAAGATGTTTAATATTTTAACAGATTAAGTCCTTATAAATTAGTGAAATGAATTAATAATAATTCTTCACATCTCATATATAAGATCTCATTTTACTTTCTTAAATGAAAAAGAAAGCGGAAATACCGAAAAAAAATGCAGACAAGTATTCAACACAGATTAATATAACTATACTAGATACTTTCTATGAATAATATGCTGACACAAGTCATTACTAGACATTTTCAGGGATGAATTGTTTTGATAAATTAATATAGTATTGCAGCAAGTAAAAGAATAATAATTATATAGCTTTTGTAAAGATTTGCATGCACGGGCCAGAGGTAAGGTTGGGAAGTGCCCCATAGATCCCTACCTAACATTTCCTTTTATAAGGATCACTTACAGACATATCCTGAGTTTCTCTCTCTCTCTCTATAGATATATATATATATATATATATATATTTGCATCAGCGTTTCCTTTTCAAAGTGTACGTAATTAGTCTTCTCACCTTCACTATCCATCGATATTGCCACCACAATGCTGTGCACGATCACTTCATGTCTGGTATATCATATGACCTACTACAATCTCATGCTAACTTAGATCTATATGTACCAATGATTTATGATCTCTATCATTCCCTTTTTACTCGTTAACATCAAATATCAGATCACGATTTTCTAAAATATATACTTTCTGATATTGAGAAACCAAGTATGAAACTTGTCATATTTTCTCTGAAGAAAAATGTCACTTGCAGGTGCTTAAACCCAAGCAAAGAGTAGATACTCTTTATGAGACAAGTTTTTTACAACTTAATAAATTTAATCAAATCGAATTTTTGTTAAAAAGTTTCTATATTTAGTGACCAATCATATTTCAAATAGATGTTTCCAAATAAAATTACTTGGAGGAAAGAAAAGTTAAAACAAACAATTATTAATTTTAACCTCCTTTCTAACACATTAATCATCCATCGTTGACAAGGTCTACAAGGATAAATTTTGTAATAAAAATGAGGACAACTAGAACAAGCGGTCCTTGATCTAATTGCGACAATGAGAATACTTTGTACCAAAATTGGACCTAAATATGTGCAATTAGAATAAGAAATCAAAATGGTACATAAATTAAATTATATAAGGAGACCATATGTCATTAATTAATAATTTATGTCCAAAACTTGTTCAGCTAGGTTAGTGGCAGATCTCGATTTACATATCACAACATTCTACATATATATATATATATATATATATATATATATATATATATATATATATATATATATATATATATATATATATATATATATATATATATATATATATATACAATATTATCAAACACCAAATATGTATATATAGATCTCGGCAGGTGACCATCATTAAGGATTTTAATTGGTGTTGTTGCGTATTGAATAAAAAACGTACTTTGTGGACTTATTAAACGTTGACTCACGAATGAGCATTTCTTCATCAAATGCATACGGAACATAAATTTGTTAACAAGTAAAATAATTAAAACTTTGGTGAATTGGGAAAATGTAATGTAAACAAATCAGTTTACACTTTAGACGGATTCAAAGAGTGAAGAAACGTTAATTTAGCCTCAGTTTTTTAAAACTACTTGAAGGACTAAAAACGACGTAACTTTTATCAAAGAACAAGGTGAACTGAAAAAAGGTTGGGGAATAAAGCACCTATAAAAACACACACTATACGACAATAATGCTAAGCTATTATTCACAACGCAAATGGGATCAGAATTCAGAAAAAATGCGTGACATATAATATAACGTAACTGTCTCCTTCTCTGCTCTTGCAAGCAAGTTTTGCTTTTCATAAGTTTCTTCACACCCATCAGTTGCTTGTCTTAATTAGTCTTCACTTTCACTTAATTTTTGTATATCAAGAATACGACATCAATGAATTGCCCCGTTTATTATGTATCTACATTCGTTGGTGACTTAAGAGGACATGATCCCTAGTGAGAGAGATTTGCGAACAACTAGAGATAAATTATAACAAGTTAATATCAGCACTACTTTAGGTGTTTGAACAGTATATATATATATATATATATATATATATATATATATATATATATATATATATATATATATATATATATATACTTTACTATAATGAAAATATCAGCAGTTGTTTTAATTTCGCCACAATTCACAATTTTTCTTGGTAATTAGGGCTTTTAGTTATTATAAATAGTATTATGCATTATAAAACTAAATTAATAATAAAGTTGACATATACCTTTCGTAGTCATATATACCTTTAGTCCGTAGTGTAACCAAAATTAGAATGTTGTGTATTTATTAACAATTTTATTGGTAAAAAAAAGTCAATATCCTATTAATATTCATGATGAATTTATGTTATCTATATTGTTTGCAATGAACGAACAAACAAACATGAAGGTTTCTGTTTTTCTAAAGATTTGCTTGCAATAACTCAAAAGAGTCTGGTACGTAACACGTAGGTTTGTTATTGCTACTGATGAATCCACGTCGAGCAGAAGGTAGCTGCAAAGAGTAAGTTTGTGTTTTGTTGTTGAAATATAAGGGTTAAGTTGGCATACAGTATGAGGTTGAATTAATGTAAAAGTAATTATATTGGCACCACTACTGCAGAACGAGCATTCAACGTCGGGTGTAGAAGGCTTTCAACGTCGGTTCCAATGACGTCGTTGAATTAGGCGTCGTTGAATGTCAAAGGATTCTACGTCGGTTCATCATACCCGACGTTGAAAGTGGTAGACATCTACGTCGGTTATTGAACTAACCGACGTTGAAGTCGCTCAAGCGACCCGTGTACTCGCTTGAGCGACGAAGCCTTCAAACCAAAGGGACCCTCGGTTGCTATTTCGCTCAAGCGACCGAGTTTTCGCTCAAGCGATCGACGTCACAACGTCGGTTAATGCAAATGCGACGTAGAAATGAGTAAATTCTACGTCGCTTATTGGATAACCGACGTTGAAAGTCCTTTATCGCTCAAGCGACCGGTGTACTCGCTTGAGCGACGAAGCCTTCAAACAAAGGGGGCGCTCGGTGTCTGTTTCGCTCAAGCGACCGACGTTTCGCTCAAGCGAAAGACGTTTCAACGCTCGGCTAATGCAATAACCGACGTAGAATATCCATTTTTTTGTTTAAATTTTGGTCTCGTTTTTGTGCTACCATACACGACTCGCTATATAAATCTCATCCAGCACGATTTACACAATACATAATATATACACAATACACAATCTCAACCAGATTCACATAATCACTATATATTTACACAATACACTTACAATCTCAGATC